CCGAATTCATGCTGCAAATAAGGCCATATTTCGATTCCGAATGAATCATCATCAGTGCTTTTTGATGTTTATATAGGGAAATATTGACTTTGTCAAAATGAACTTAGATGGAAATTGACTTTTTCAAAATGAACTTAGATGGAAATTAGGTGTCAGGTTTCTTTATTGGCTGGTCATCTTCTTTGGTCTCCTTTTCTTCGTTGATAGCATCATATTCTTCTTTGTCACTATTTACAATGCTAGTTTTTATTACTTCTTTGTTTTCATTGTTGGTTAAGCGCCGGGTTGGAAGTGAGGTTATCATTTTTTGTTGTATATTTATTTTTGGTTTATTGATGTCAATTAGGACTGCTTCTGCAATTTTAAGATGCGTGTAGTTACTGTTCTGGTATATTACTTTAGTGTTGCTGTTGAGGATTTCACGGCTAATAGTGATTGAATGTGTTGAGTCCAAATGAGATTTGATAGCACCACTCTGTTTATGCATCGTAAGCCTTCTAGTCAGTGAGGTAGTAGTAATCCCGATATATGAGTCATGTTGACGTGCACAGCCGTCAAAGGGGCAATTAAATTCATATATTACGTGATTACGCATTACACAAAGTTATCTCTAGGACTACAATTGTTTTTCAGTATTAGGTGAGACGTCTTTTTATTGTTGTAATAAATTCGGAGTTTAACTTTACTATTTGGGTTGGTTGGTGCGACATTTTTATTGATGATATGTTTAAGAATAGCTTCATCTACTTTGTATGCAGTTGACATGTGATTTCTGTAATACAAGATGATGTCGTTATCTTGATTGTTGGTACTAGGAAGGTTATTGTTGTGTAGTAATTTGCCTTTAACAATCTTTTCAATGGAATAAGTCTTATATCCATTGTTTACAAGCAGGACTGTGGTATATATATATATATATATATATATATATATATATATTTAGGAACGAGGTTTTCAGAAATGCAAATTTCATTGAAATTGTTTGCCCATTTTGCATTAATTAACTTCTTTATAAGACATTCAACGAGGCGGTATTGTTTGAGTTCATATTTATCTAAAACTGGAATAAAGCTAACAGCGCTGTTTCGGCGTAATGCCATCTTCAGAGCCTAAATATTGTTTAAACATATAATTTAATTAAAGTAAATGCCTAATGTAAAATGTGAAAATATAGAAAATAAAATATGTATTAAATTGTGAAATAAATTAACCTTGTTGTAAATATCATAATAACTAAAGTTTATGTAGATTATATAAATAAAATAATGTAATTTAAATAAAATGTTTAGTAAAATAATTAAAATATAGAAATTTTATAAAAGTTTTAACATGGTTGAGAAACGTTAGTGAAAACTAATTACGAATGACATGTGCGCCAGATATATAATATTGCTGTGTATGCGTTGTGAATACAACTATTGCGGTTGAATATGTGTGATACGAGTTTCCACATCAGACCTACGGATACATAGTTAAATATAAATACATATATGTACATGCAAGATACATATCTATGTATAGATCAAGTATTAGGTATCACATAATACATCCAACGACGCGATGACGGTTGTCGGATGACGCTGGGTCACAAACTGCGTGTTGATGGGTTGAAATGTATTCAACGTAGGATGATATTCATATCGTTGTGGTACACGCAGATCCTGTGGATCAACCCCAACGGCAACAGTAGGTGTGAGATCGTGATATTGAGAAAACAATTGCAAAGTGTGATCAAAGCTGTTATATTGTTTATTGAGTGAGGGTTTATGCTTGTTGATATGAAGGGCTTCTTTAATTTTAAGGCGAACTGGATCGGGTTCATAATCAAGGATCGTCGTGTTGGGATCCAATATGTTCCTCGTAAGCGGTTGATGATGTACCCGTTCCATATGGTCCTTAATGGCACCATTCTGTGTATGCATGGTGATTCTTCTAGAGAGAGTAGTTCTCGTATGGCCGATATAACTCTCCACAACACAGTGTGGCACGGGACAAGAAAATCGGTATACGAGATTGGTTCTCTCTAGTTTGTTGGGGGGACGTGTGTTGTTATTTTTAACGATAAAGCTGGATGTTCGGTTGGTGTTGTAATAAATTATGAACTTCAGTCGGTAGCTTTCTTTGGGAACGGAGACATTGGATTTGATGATACGTTTGAGCATTGATTCATCAACTTTGTAGTTGTCAAGCATTTGATTGAGATAATATAGAGGTATAATTGTTTTTTTATATATCTTATGCCCTAGCCTAGCTTCACATGCTCCAAGGGTTAGCATAACTACTCTAAGTAATGGTACTGGGGTATTAAATAATGTTATAAAAAAAGACAGATAAAGTAGATATACTACTACATTCCAATACTATGGTTAATGATCTTATTATTGCTATATATCATATTAGTTTTATATGTTATTGTAGCCTACATAATTTTTTATTTGGATAGATTAATCTTAAACATTATATATAAAAACTTTTAATATTTACTAAACATTTTATTTAAATTACATTATTTTATTTATATAATCTACATACCCTTTAGTTATTATGATATTTACAACAAGGTTAATTTATTTCACAATTTAATACATATTTTATTTTCTATATTTTCACATTTTACATTAGGCATTTACTTTAATTAAATTATATGTTTAAACAATATTTAGGCTCTGAAGATGGCATTACGCCGAAACAGCGCTGTTAGCTTTATTCCAGTTTTAGATAAATATGAACTCAAACAATACCGCCTCGTTGAATGTCTTATAAAGAAGTTAATTAATGCAAAATGGGCAAACAATTTCAATGAAATTTGCATATATATATATATATATATATATATATATATATATATATATATATATATATATATATATTGGGTTTAGACTATCATAAATACAATATCATCTTGATGAAGTTTATTAAGGTTAAATAAAAAACTTTTAATATTTGACATTTTTGACAAAACATTATTAAAAACGTTGATAACATTAATAACGTTATTAACGATGAAGTTTATTAAGGTTAAATAACTTCACTATTTACACTAAATAAATTCACTATTTACACCACACCCTGGTTCTAAGGTTATCAACAGATATGGCTTGACTTTACATCTGTACTACACCTAAAATTTTCAAGCAAAAAATAGCCCTTCAGCTTGACAATCCAGCGTCTGTTCTTTTTCGATAAAAGGTAGGCATTTGGCCAACTTCCTCCAACTAAATCCCCAAAAATCTGAGACGTGGATACACCACAACAACTTACAAAGTGTTCTCCATCATTAAGTGTGACCTTTGCTTAAGCATCCCTTCCTACATCAACCACTCTCAAAATTTTAGGTTTTACTTTCGACTTCTTTCTTATGTTCAAACGACATGCAATCACATAATTTGGCCTATCCGCCACATTAGTTCTCTCCGTTGACATGACTTTCCCACTTTTTGCATTGTCTCCTTTGATTACTACAACGTTCTATTATCTGGAGCTTCATCTTATAGTATATCATCTTCGCTTAGCCTCATCTCTTCAACAAGTTCAAAATAAACTTGCTTCGGATTTACCTCGTTTTTTTTTCTAGTTCATCATCTCTCTACATTGGTTACCGATGCATCGTCTACAAAATCACATACAAAAAACTCAACACGTCTTAATCATCATTGTCCATCATTCATCTTTACTCAACTGTTTATTGTTGCCAACATTATCTTCAGCTACATCAACCAGTGAGCAAATCATATATCATCAACAGAGGTTTCTCATGGTGTTCTCCTTCAATATGGAACCGTTTGCCGATCAACATCCATCAACAACTATCAATAGAGCTGTTTAAGAAACATTTGATGAAAAATCTGTTCGTAAAAGTCTTTAGAGACCTTACCAATGTTTTTTTGCTGAGAAGCCTCTGACGCTTCAAAAATAACTTTATTATTATCTTAACATTCATCACATTGCCTCCTCGAACCTCTTCTCGTCTACTTCAGTAAATATCATGCATTTAAGAACAGTTTTTATTCATAATAAATCGGCAAATCAGTTTGCAATGTCTCGTTTTGTGTTGCCTGCGCGTTAACTTTTTTCGATTGATATCGACAAGAATTTCTATAAATATATTGTTTGCACATTTTATGTTTACTTTTCAAGGTTGCCGTGTGGTTAGCGTGTCCGTCTACTACCTCCACCACCCGGGTTCAAATCCTGCAGTTTCTGCAGGTTCATCCGGGTAGCCGACCCCCGGCCAACCCAGCCATCCATCCTCCAAGGTCGATAAATGGGGAGACGACGTAAGTTGTCGCATGTTGGCCGGCGAGATGGCTCAGTGGTTCTAATTGCACGCTGAGTCAAACATCTTAATAGCTATCATATACTCACCGTATATGATGCGGTGCTTGCGCGTGTACATTGTGTTTTGTTGTGTGGAAAGGATAAACAGCCTTTGTGGCAAGAACATAAAAAATTATAGATAATACATATGTAACATTGTAAGTGGTTTTGCGTATGTCACAGCTGCAATAATAAAGACTAAAAAAATAAATAAATAATTTACTGTAAATAAAAAATTACTATTAAGTTATTTGTTTGCAGGACAAGCTGCGTATTCGGCTAGCAAAGGAGCCATTGTTGGGATGACGTTACCTTTGGCTCGAGATCTTTCTATTTTGGGAATTAGAGTCGTCACCATTGCACCAGGTTTGATATATTAAACTTCCTCCTAATCCTACAAAAATTCTTATTTTTTTACGTACTTTTTTATTCACCAATTTTAAACAATCAACAAAAAGGTTTCAGTTATCTATCTCAAATTTTTAATTTTTCAGGTCTTTTTAATACGCTATCTTTAAACAGCCTACCAGAAAAAGTTCAATCATTTTTGGCAAACAGGATTCCATTTCCATCCAGATTTGGTAGTCCAGATGAATACGCTCATCTTGTTCAGTTCATAATAGAAAATCATTTTATAAATGGTGAAATTATAAGGATTGATGGAGCGCTAAGATCATAATAAACATGTTTATAAAATTAATTTAAAGTAAGCTTTAACAAACACAAGTTTTAAAATATATTTTTATTGCCGTAATGCAAAAATATTGATCAGTTCGACTGAAATGTTTTTGAAAATTTGTTCTTGCTCGCCTACTGATAAATAATATAGGTTTACTTTTCTTGAAATAACATTCAGGTATGTTGACAAGTCGACTCAGACTTCAGTTCCGAACACTTACAGAAATATTGATTGATTTCGTTTCTGGAGCATTTGGGAGAAAAATTGTAAATAGGACAGTAGTTTTTCAAGTGACCAGTTGTATTGTAATAGTCAAAAAACGTCTTAACTAAATTCTCTCCAAGTTTCATATCTGAAAATAAAGCAGTAGATTTCGATAATTTAGATAAAATTTAGTTTTGAAGCGTTTATGATTTTGTTGCCTATTTTCAAATTTCAAACGATAGTTATGTTGTCTGTCGCGTTAATCCTTACGACGAATTATTTTTAAGCTTTTTGCACGTTATTGACTTAGTGGAGTTACCTTGCCGGCGCTAAAATCAGTTTAACTTCCTGACATTTGATTGAAATATTCATTCTATTCCTATTTAAATGGGAGATGAGCCAAAAATATCGATTTCAGAAGATACGAAACTTTTTTTGTTACCACACTTGTCATCTAATTTTCGATAAATTCCCATTGTCAGATTAATAAAATAGCCCTAAGTTTTGTATGCTTGCTCACTCCGATGACGATGCATGAATCGTTTCGTTTAATTAATGAAATAAATATATTAATCAATCTTCGTTTAGCGTCCAGAGACCCAGTTCCCCCGAGGTAGGACGTTGTTTTCTTTGCCATCAATTTTTTGCGCCAAATTAGGCAATCAGTTGTATCCATTTCATTTAAATTTAGAGCTTTCATGTCTTGCTCGATTGTTTGCAGCCAGGACTTCTTTGGACGGCCTTTGGGACGTGTGCCAGGTACTTCAACATCTGCAAGAGAAGTTATGACACTGTTTCCATTTCGTTTGACATGACCAAACCGCCGAGGACGGTGTTGCCGGCATTCGTCCTTTATATCATCTAAACCGGAACGACGCAGGATTTTGGTTGATTTGATGTGGTCCTTCAATCGTTGCATCCATCTGAGCATTTTCATATCGGATCGGTGAAGTTGTTGTTCCAGTTTGGTTGTCATTGGCCATGTTTCTGAACCATATAACAAGACCGGGCGTATCACAGATTTATAAAGTCTCGATCGTAGTGGTAGTGGGATGTCACGCCGCATCAATATTATAGAGGCAAGAGGATGCCATTTATTCCAGACTGCACGTATGCGTGCTCGAACGGCAGCTGTTTCAGTACAATCCAGAACATCCCCTAGATATTGAAACGATGTGACTTTCTCGTGACTTTCTCTACCTTAATGGCTTCAAAAACATTGCTATTTCGAATTTGTTGTTGTGGATTGATGCAAGCAGGAGAAATAAAATTGGACACTTTAGATAAAGTACCAATTATTTTTGAACAACGTTTGCGACACCGCTGATTACACTGCTGACATTTGATTGAATTGTTACCTACACCAGCCCTACTAACTGTTGTTGTTCCAGTTTGGTTGTCATTGGCCATGTTTTTGCACCATGTAACATCACCGGACGTATCACAGATTTATAAAGTTTTGATCGTAGTGAAGCTGCTGTTCGAGTTTTGTTGTCATCGGCCACATCTCTGTACCATACATTAAAATAGAACGTATAGCTGTGTTGTATAGTTCTGAGCGCAGCGGTAGAGGAATGCAAAGCCGCATCAGTACCGAGGCAAGAAGGTGCCGTCTGCCCCACGCCGCACGTATGCGTCCACGAACGGCGGCATCAGCTGTTCTAGTACAATCCAGCATATCTCCCAGATACTGAAGTTAAGTAACAGTTTCGATTCCGGTAATCGTATCATTGTCTGGGCTCCGTTGTCGCGGGTTGATGCAGGCGGGGCATGCGAAATCAGTAATCAGTTACTTTCCTAGTGAGCCGGTAATTCTCGAGCATCGTCTGTGACACCACTGCTGACATCGTAGGCATTTGATCGAATTGCTTCCAACTCCTGCCCCACACACCGAACATGGCCAATGACCAGAGACCACAGGCTCAGCGGTACCACCGGTGATCATAGTTTTTGTTTCGTCAAGGTTACCTTTAGTCCGTGTTCGGCAAGCTGGGTATTCCAGACCCCAAAGTTTCTGGCTGCATCTTGTTCCGAGGCCGCCGTCAGGACCATATCATCTACATATATCGCATTCCATATCTTATCTGAGCGTATCGGTTTGGTTATTTCTTCCATCACTGTGATGAAGAGCAGGGGGCTGAGTATTGATCCCTGATGGGCGCCGACGTTAATATCAAATCCATTCGTATTACTGGCTGTTGTGCTGACTAGAGTTTTTGTGTTAGAGTACGTTGCCATAACCTGCCAAACCAGATATTCGGGAACAAGCTGTCTACGTAGACTCCACCTGATTGCCTCACGAGGCACTCTGTCAAAAGCTTTTTCCAAGTCCACAAAGACATGGAACAGTCGCTTTTGCTTTGCCATGTATTTTTCCTGTAGTTGACGAATGATATAGATAGCATCAATGGTAGATCTCCCTGCCAAGAAGCCGTACTAGTAACCACATATTGAAACGCACGGCAACAGTCTCCAATCTCAATGTCTCAATGACTTTTTCAATAACTTTCAGGTGATGTTTCAGAAGACGTATATCCCGATATGAAAAGCACTTTAGTTGATTTTCTTTTCCTTTATATATCGGCACAGTCGTATTCCACTGGTAGTATCAATTTACTCCACATCTCACGATAGATGTGTAAGAGGGCTCTGAAGCCTGCCCCACCAGATGCCTTGATGATATCATTTGTAAGTCCAGACAGACCAACCGCTTTACCCACCTTTATTGCCTTCAACGCATCCGTAAAATCCTCAGCTGTGTTGCCTTGAATCGGTCCTTCCACCGGAAGTGCATCAAAGTCCACCCCAATAAGGTTTGTTTTATTCAATAACTGTAATCTTTCCAGGGATCCTTAACTTCATTCTGCAAGGTTATTATGCCTTTATTATTCTTTATGCATGTGGCACCAATTATATCCTTTTTCAGTCTTTTGGCCGGATTTGCTATTCGGTAGAGTGACCGAATTTGTTTGCCTTTACTTCCAGACAGCCATACCTTGCATTGATTTGCACGAGCTATCGCAATCTGACATTTTGCTTCTGTGTTATTTGATCGGTATTTCTTTCGATCTTCCTCAGTCTTCGTTTTCTGCCAATGTTTGAAAGCTGCTTTCTTACTGGCAAAAGCATTTTGCACCGTCTCGTTCCACCACCAAGTTTAGCGGTTGTGCTGGCGTTTTGTTCCAGATTTTTCCCATACAGCTGTTGCAGCGTTCACTAGAGTGCCATGAAAAGATTTCCAGGTTATGTCTACCTTCTTCAGACGATCCAGCTGTGCCGATACCAACTCCTCGAATTTCTCCCTGAACATGGGACAATTTGCAGCTTACAAAAAGATATTGATAGTTTATTATAAAACTAAACAATTACTACAACACAGAATCAGACGACAGGGTCAGGGAGGAGGATTATGTTTCACAACGTTATATTTATTTTTAAACCATAAGAACATTTGCATGCTTCAAATTTTTGGTGCTTTAGTACATTTCCAGAAACGCGTGTTTTTAGCTCATTCATTGATTTTTTTTACGGGAAATCTTACATGACTTTTGAAGATTAGAATATCGTCGTCCATGAGCATCACTCCCTATTGAATGTTGGAGACAAAAATCCCCTTTGGGTCAATTTTTACTTGATTTAAAATTATCTACATATAATAAAAACGGTACACCAGTTAAGGTTATTGATAATAATAATAATAATTATATTAATTATTATGTAATATAATAATAATTATTACTATTCTCTCTTAGATAATCCTCAGAGGTTACTACAACACACAGTGTATATAAATACAATTGAATCAACGCATTACACACACTACTGTATGCGATGGGAGGGGATCTTTTTATATTTGAGCCTGGACACTGCATCAACAATGCCAGGCACCCTAAACATTACACCCCATGTCATGACTGAGGCGTATTATTTCTTATTACAACAAACTCACAAAGTATATAAATACACTGTGAATCAACGCATCTCACTTTTTGTTTGTGATAAGCGAGAATCTTTTTACATTCGAACTCGGACACTGCATCGACAATGCCAGACCCCTTAGCCATTACACAATCGCGCCGCCAATTTCATTGATAACAAATAATCTCAAAATAGTCCAAGCCAATTTCCCTTAACTTGAGATGGAACCATTTGCCGTCTTTCCTTTCTGAAAACGCACCTGTTGTTGTCTAAATTGTTTTTTTAGAGTTTCAATGTTTCTTTCTAAATTCTTTTGCACCAAATACTTGTTCTCATTATGCCGTTGAAAGTAATTTCAAATTCATGAAAAAAATGAAATTGTGTCGCAGTGTTGCTACACCACACCGTGGTTCAATTTCATTCTCGAGAGGAACAATTTGAAACGTACTGATACATGATTGAACGAGCGATATACGGGAACAAATTGTGGATACAAAAGCAAAAATATTTGGTTTTATGTTTATTGAATTGAGCCATAAAAATTTTTGCAACACTATGCCAGAAGTTTCATTGGCTTCAAAAATGTGAAAATACTGATATCGCTATATCTATTATTACTGGTCATAAAGAAAAATCTTGCAACTTAAAACAACTAGTTTTCGACATGGATGAGGCATCCAATGGTAATTAATAGGCAATATGAAAAAAAAACTGCAGAACTGAAAAATGACGAGCCGATCAAAATTTCATTTAATTTACATAAAGGTAATGTAGCCCGGCTTTTAAGGAAACCAAAATTAAATATTCAAATATCAGTTCATGTTCAAGAAAATTTGGATAGATGCCAATTCTCTTCTTTTCCCTTTCATCTTGCTGATTTTAAAAATTACCTAGCTCCAAAAAAACCACTCGAACGATTTGACTAATTTTAAAAAAATCAGTTATTTGCGATGTTCTGCTTTTTTTTGTTTTTACAGGTTCACGTTATTCATGACTTTTACTGTATTTCATCTAAATTCCATAAATTTATATGTTACTATAAACTACCTAGGTTTATGAAAACTTAAAATTAAAGTAATTATTTCAATTGATAAAGTTTTCAAGTTAGTAAAAACTTCTTACAAGTATTTCCCGTATACGGTTGAGTGTGTGATCCGCCGTTAGATGTGTATGACGTGTAGCTATAAAACGATACTTCCAACGTATAACAGTTACACTTTTTGTCTAAAATATCACCAAGCGTCCTGTTTGAATTTCAAGTTTATTTTTATAATATATTTTTTACTTATAATATCTCATTATAAAAATGAAAATTTTTGCTTTATTTATTTAGAGTTAAGCGTAGCATAGATAATCGAAAATAAAAAGAAGCTATATCGAAATCCATCACATTTTTTAATTTACTTAACAAATTAAAAAGTAGGCCGATGGATTTTAAATGTCAGTCTCGTTTTTTCGTCCAGTTTTTATAAATTCTTTTTTACCATAAACTTTTCAATTTTGTTTGTATTTTAGCGTTTTATTATTATCGTAGCTACCTTTGACAAAATTTATTTTTGCGATTTAATTTTATGTTTTTGTCTTACATAAAACTGATAAAAAAAAATTGGGTAAGAAGAGTTTTTAAAATAAGATTTTTATAATCATAAACAAAAGTTTCTGCTACACTACATTTTAATTTGAACTATATTAGTAAATAGAATGAAAAGCACACGCAGAAACAATTAAAATGAAAATTCACAAAAATTTGCTACTTCATGGAGACCGTTATAAACATGAGAAAAATTCAAAAATTTTCAACACCATTTTTGTTACATAAGCAGCTCCAAGTACAAATAAAAAAGAGTTTCATATTAAAGTTTGCAATGATATAAATAAAAGTTTGTGATTTTTACTCTTCTCAAACTAAACTTCTATGCCATAAACTAGCATCCAACCCGGGGCAATTATAAGAATAGATACACCTAATTGAAATTACGTGTAGGTGTACTACCTAGATGGAAAATTAAACGTTAAATTACATTCGAGGCATATTGTGGTGTGGCCGTGAACTGATTTAATTAAGCCGCTAAAGTATTTAATTCAGTTTAACAACATATTTCAATTTTGATAAAACAAATTAATTGTCATTTTACAAGAGTTAATACAACATTAAATAAACAAAAAAAATTATATTATAAATAATAAACATAATAACTTTTTAACTAATAATATAATGTAGACTGCGGAGAATGAAGAATAAATTTGATAGGCCCCGATTATTAAGAATCAATCCTTCCATATTTCCTAACACCTATTTGTTTTTGTTTTACTTATGTTAAACCTTCCATGTTTTCTAACACATATTTATTTACTTGATCTGTAAGAAACTTTTTAAAATGGTAATCATCTTAATTTTTATTGAACAATGTCAAATATATTTTCAGATAATGTTTTACAATAATATTTTGTTCTGCTTTAAATCTGCTTTAAAAAAGTGGTGTCATTTAAATATGCCTTCAAATGAGTAAGAGCATTTAATATCTGACGCGCCCTTTCAATAATAAATGTTGATTCATAAATGATTTAGAAAGTTTCACTCTTTTATACTGCCATGTCAGTTCATAATGCTCACTTAGTGATAAACAATTACTTACCATTTCGATTTTATATATGATGAAAAGTTTGTCTACTATAATTTAATTCAACTTTAGAAACAATTTTTGGGAAAATTTTTGGTGTTTGGCTTTGGTGTTTAGGAAAATTTTGTAAAATTGGGCAAAATGTAAAAATGAAGCCCCAAAATATTTTGTATTTTTTAATTATGCAGTTCTGAATCTTACTTCAAATTTCTCTTTTATATTTTCTATACCAAGTCACGCGACAGTCATTTGTTAAAAAATGTCAATGCCAAACCCACGTCCGTGCTGTGCTGGGTTACGAGTGTATGTTTAGATAGGTTTGGATAGTGTCTGGGTTCAAATGCATAAGGATATACAATCATACGCATGAATGTGTTGTTATAGCATGTACGCATGTGTACTTGGGTGTTTGTGGAAAACTGAATCCTAGCACCTACACAAAGGGCACTATTTAATTGATATTATTATTATAATTATTATTCTAGAGTTTTTTTACATGTCTGAAAAGCAATGATGCAAAACCTTCTCCCAGTGCCAGCTTTGAATGAATCATTGTTGAAAGATGTATTAGCAAGTGAAAAATCTTCAGCGTTTTGACAAAACAGTCTAGGAAATACAGCTTGTCTCTCATGTCTGCTACTGTCATCATATACATTGCCATACATAAACCCATTCATTAATGTGGAATGGGCATGAATATCTATATAAAAATCAAGCTCTTCTTTCTAAAATAAGATTAACATATAGCGTGTAATTTGATTTATAACTAGCAATATCAGTATAATTACTTCACTAGAATTTAGTTTCATAAGAAGAACTTTAGTAGCATATATTGTTGGTTGAGACCAAGGAGACGGATCATGCCAGTGTCGATTCAAATCATGTCCGTTAAATGAACACCTTCGAAACATTTTTTGTATTTTGTATCTGCATGAATCGAATAAGAAATATAAATAATTACCTATAGTTTCCGTTAAAAACTCCGTCTGGATTAAGCATAGGGACAATTTTAAATATTACATAATCACGCAATACCCTTGCTAAAATATGGTCAGAGGTTAAAAAATCTATAATTCCTGCACATATAAAATTTTCAGATTGATATGCGTAAAATTTATTTAACAATTTTCTTAAACAATTATAATGTTAACATGGTTGATTTATTTATTTTATTTATTTATTGACAAACTGACCAGAGGGCCATAACAGACCACTTATCTAGTCAGAAAAAAGAAAAAACAACTTCAAAAGAATAAACGCACGTCTATGAATTATATCTAAAATGTAAGATATTAACAAACATAATAATACAAATAATGAATGAGACAACATAACAATATTGAAGATAAATACTTAATAACTATAAGATTACAATAATTTGATATGTTTATTTATATAAAAAAGTAAATTTTAAACATGTGACAAATAACATTGTGAGTGTAATAAAAAAGATTAGTTTGATGGTTATAAATAAAAGGTCGATGACGATGGTAGATTGGTGAAAATGCTAATCGACAAAATTGGATGAGCAATTAATACGAAAAGATGGTAGATTGGTGAAAATATTAATCGACAAAATTGAATGAGCACATAATACGAAAAGAAAATAATTTGTAATGAGACAACATTAATATTAGATTATAGTCAAAAATTTATTTAAGTCAATAGATAGACTATTTCTGAAAATTGCAAGTGAAGCTTAGGAAACCACTTCTGCCGGCAAAGCGTTCCATACACGGATAATCATGTTAAAGCAGAAATATTTTGCTGCATTGTCGCTAGCATTAAAATCCTGCAATCGGCATTGATGACCCCGAGTTGAGAAATAACGTGAAGGTATGAAATAAGTTTCGATGAGGTTGTGCAGTATTTTGTACAACAGGCACAGATCGAAAATTAATCTAGGACTTAATCCAACTGCGTTAAGGCGAGATAGATTTTGTAAATCTTCTTTGGACACTTAATCTTGATTACTTGATACTTGTAGTGCGGACTCCATGCTGGTGAGCAATATCTACTAATGGTCGTACATATGTGCAGAAAGCTTTCTTAAGTAGTTCTTTATCTCTGGAGGTGAAACATCTGATGATTAGGCATACACGCGAAGAAGCCCTGTGAGTGATGTCGCTGATATGAATATTGAAGTTGAATTTGTGGTCAACTATCACTCCTAGATTTTGAATTCGTTTGTACAAGTTAGAATTGCTGGTCAGTTGAATATTGATGCGGAATTATGAAAGATCTTGGTGATGAAAAAAACGAGCAATGAGAACATTTGTTTGGAGAAAGTGGTAGTTGCCTTATATTACTCCAAGCAACTACGCCGTTAATGACCTGTTGAAGTTGAGTTGGAAGAGCGGCAATATAGTCGTTAAATGCATTAGCCATTACTAAGGGGTCATGTGTTACATTATTGTCATCTAATCTTAAACTGCTAATCTGGGGTCGCGAAAACAATTTGTTATTGACATACTGGTGAAAACTTCTGACGTTAGACTTAGAAAGTAGCTTTTGTTCGTTGATTTTTTGTAATGGTTTAATAATATAATATTTTAATAACTTAGTTTCAGTTTTATTGCAGATCTTATTATTTTTTCCACCATTGTCTTGTATTTCAAAACAAAATAAGAATTAATGTGGTAATGCAATTCAAAAAAAATCAACTTTTTTAATATTCTTTAAAAAACAGAATCTGACAGACGCAGAAACTGTTACAGCATGCATGCAGCATGGAGGGAGCTGCATATTTGATGCGTGAAATTATGAGTGATTCAGTGATGTCGAATAATTTGATGCCTCTGTAGGGATCAAACATTTATTTATTAACTATCTCATATATTAATTATTAAAATTAAACAAATATTTAAACAAAAATTAAACAAATAAGTAAACAAAAATTAAGTAAATAAATAAATAAAAAACTGAGAAAGAAAAATGTTTTAACATGAAAAATAAAATAAAATAGTAAATAAAATAAATTGACAATAAAATGAAGTAATGGCATAAAAACGCATATCAATAGACTAGATGATGACTTAGTTATGATGATGAGTTAGTGAGGTGATCGATAAATAAAAAAAAAAGTTGTGTGAATGATAAAGTTTTATGAAATAAAAACAAGTTATGTGAATGATAAAGTTTTATTGAGTGTTAATATGTTTGAGGTGTCTTGTGATGAAAGTCTTTTCCTGATATGTAGATTGGGTGGCGACTTAATAGTTATGTTTGCGCTGACGAAGGTTGGGTTAATTGGTGGTAGTAGAGGATGGATGACGTGGTTGTTGTTATTTTCTACTTTCTTGAACAGTCTTGAATCGAGTGTGTTGAATATCTGAGTGACGGTAGAATATGATGCAATTAGATAGTTGAAGCGGATTAGTTTTTTGATGAGAGATTGTAGTTGCTGAAGTTGTTGTGTAGCAAAACCAGGCCAGGAGGGAGCTGCATATTTGATGCGTGAAATTATGAGTGATTCAGTGATGTCGAATAATTTGACGCCTCTGTAGGGATCAAACATTTATTTATTAACTATCTCATATATTAATTATTAAAGATTATTGCAATATTCAATGTTACCTAATCTATGTTAATTTTTATGTCTTTGCTGCTCTCTCGATGTCTTAGCCAGAGGCGTCATTTGGGGGAAGGCAGGGGGGGGGGGCAAGAAATCAAAATTCTAAATTTTTGCTGTACGAAATTATTATGACAAAATTGCAAACACTATAAAATAATTATATAAAATTATATAATTTATTATAATTATATATACAAAAAAATTGTGCTTTTTGAATTTTTAAATGTCAAGCGCTATACAATTTATTTCATTTGTTCCTACAATAATTCATGTTCTGTTTTAAATTATAAAAGTGTTAATTTTAAATTCTTTGTAAAAAGGATATATATAGGATATATAATTTAGTAATTTTAAAACTTTAAAAATTTTGAAATTTTAAAAACTTTAAAAATGTATAATTTATTATAATGTTGCACTGACAAGACTAGGTAGTGGAAATAGTACTATATGCATACATGTAGATAATGACATATTCTGTAAATAGGAATTTTGTTAATAGCATTAACAAGTTAAGTTTAGTAGATCGGAGAATTATTCGAAGAATCGAGAAACTATCATATAGATTGAGTACTGTAAGAAACGCCGTGATCTTTATTAATAATATATATATATATATTATATATATTATTTATATATATATATATATATATGTTACATGCTAAGTCATAGACCACATAAGTTCGCCCCCCCCCCAACCAAAATCTGAAATGACGCCCCTGGTCTTAGCCTTTTTTCCCGAGAGCTTGTAAACGAAACGGTTCGAGATTCACGTGGGAATAAAGATAATATTTTATTACGCCTGAATTGTGTTTGTTTTATTTATTTTAACTCACAACAAGGTGTCTTGTTAGTAGCAGAAGTTTGTACTAACAAATTGGTGACCTCCGACGTGATCTGAACGAAAATCCGACGTGATTTGAACGAAAATGCCGACGTAAAAAGAAATACGAAGATCCACGTGGTTAGATCAAAACGAAAACAAAATGTTCCAACCAAATGATGACCCGATCGCCATATTACCTTTTTTCAATAAAACAGCGTCAACAGATCGGTTCGAGAATTCCGAAATGCAATTTCAATTGCGAAACGTGATGTGTAAAACAACAAGATTCTATCACGTAATAATTTCTCTGCCGTTGGATATAGTCTCAAATTTGTCATTAAAAGTGCAAAGAGGAACAGATTACGACGCTCTAAAAGCAGAGTTATTATCAACGTTCAAACAAACCAAACCAGAGCAATTCCAAGAAAAAGAATCTTTTAAAATAAATTTGAATCTGATGAATGTAAACAAAATTGAAGAAAGGCAGCCACCAGAAGAGTCCAATAAAATAAAAGTTGTCCTGAGCAAGAACAAAGATGAAAATGACATCCAACAATTACAACAGCAAAACGCTGAGCAGAATGTTACCATCCCATCGGCAAATTCACACATGAACGATTCTCTCCTTCCAGTTCTCTCTCTTCCTTCTCCTGTTCAACAACAGCAGCAAGATCATCACAGAAAGAAAAAAGCAGAGCATAGTTCATCGTCCGCACACACATCTCATTCTAGAAATCGTCTGCAGCTGGACAGAAGGTTGCATGAGAGGCCAGAACAAAATTTGAACCAGCAACCAAAACGGCAACTGCGTTTTCAGCAACCACGCCATCATCAACATCTCATGAAACAGGATAAATGTCAACCACATTATCAGCGACAAAAGCAACATCATTACGAGAAACAAGTTAAACACCAGCGATATCAGTACCAATAACCACATCTTCAAAGAAGAGTAAAAAAATCAAATTCAACTCAAAAAACAAACATTTTTCCATTTGAATGGCTCCGCCTCTTGCGGGGGAATATTATAAAAATGAAATATCTCCAGCATTAGCAGTAACAGCAACACCAACATCAGACGCAACAACAACACAAGAAACAAGACCGACGTCAACCAAATCCGAACCAACAACCCAACACTCATGTAAAGGGAGGCAAATAACATTCAACAAACGAAATGAATATTTTTATTTTTAAACGGCTCCGCCTTTTGTGGGGGAGTATTGTAGGGATCATTGAAATTTTCAATGTTATCTAATCTATGTTAATTTTTATGTCTTTGCTTGTCTCTCGATGTCTTAGCCCTTTTTCCTGAGAGCTTGTAAACGAAACGGTTCGAGATTCACGTGGGAATAAAGATAATATTTTATTACGCCTGAATTGTGTATGTTTTATTTATTTTAACTCACAACAAGGTGTCTTGTTAGTAGAAGAAGTTTGTACTAACACCTCTGAGACCATGTGAGCGGAGTTTTTGAATGAGTGAAATATTTGAAAGCTTTTTGTGATGATGTGATTGATATGAAGTGTTAAGTGTCAACTTGTCATTTAACAGAGTATGCCACACTTTTGCTGAGATTTCAATACCCAAAATCTCTGTAAATCAATAGATCCAAAGGCTCAAAAACTGATAGTCACATTCTAGATTTGGTCATTTTAACTCCACGCATAGCAAGCGT